ACGGCGCGAGCGGAAAAAAAAACGGGCACCTTTTCGCGCGTACTTGGCGCGCTCGCGCTGAGCAAACTCGAGGGTGGGTTCGAGCCGTTGGGCTATCGTGAGCGACTTGGTCGTCGTCCCCGTCTGCGTCCCCCGGTGCAACAATCAGCCCTCGCCAGATCTCTCATCTTTTTTCTCCACTACGAGAAGACTCACCATCGCGCTCCTCCGCCACTCCGACATCGGCCCCGTCCCGGTCCCCGTCGGCGACAGCGGCGCCTGCACGAAATAGTCCGTCGCGCGCCGCGCCCCGTTGCTCACCATCCTTCCCACCCCGCCCTCCGCCGCCTCGCGCACCTGCTCCACCGCGCGCTCGATCGCGCCCCTCCCGGCCTGCATCTCCTGCTCGAGCGCACCCCGCCCTCTCTGTATCTCCCCCTGCGCGTGGTCGAGCAAGCCCCTCGTTTGCTGCGCGATCCCGCGCACCTCGTGCCCGACGAGCTCGGTCACGCCCCGGCTCTGCATCCGGATCTGCTGCGTCACGTCGGGCACGGCGTCGGACAGCGTCCGCTCGAGTCGGCCCAGTCCGCGGGCGAGACGGTCGGCGGGGTCGTACGGGCCGGTGTTATAGTTGTAGTAAGAAGGGGTGGATGAGGGAGGGGGGGGAAGGCCGGTGTGGGCGGGTTCCGGGGGGAGGAGGATGGGCTGGGGCGGGGGGAGGGTCGAGCGGCGCCGGGGGCTTGAGGGGTCGACGCTGAGCGTGCTGGAGCGCGATGGGGAGCCGTGCCGGGAGAGGGGGGGTTGGGTCCGTGCGGCGGTGGTGAGGGGAGGGGTGTGGGGCGCGACGGTGTAGCTTGTGCTGGCGACGGGTGGGTGCGCGACGTAGGAGGCGCGCGGGGTAGGCTGCGGCGAGTGCGGTTTGTCCGTGTTGGGGGGAGGGGGAGGAGGAGGGGTGCTGCCGCGCGAGCTTGGGGCGGGGTCGGGTTGCATGAGAGCAGGGCCGGGCTCGGTGTGGATGGGGGTGATGGAGGGGGAGGCGGGGACGAGAGCGGGAGAGGGGGCGGGTTCGTGGACCGGAGGCGTGGCTTCGACGACGCGTACTTGGACCTCGGGGATGGCATCGGGCTCGCGTGACGGTGCAGTCGTAGATGCAGAAGGCGCGTCGGGCACCGCGTGAGCGGCAGGCGCGTCGGGCATCGCGTCGTCGGCGTCGGCGTCGGTGCGGGTGTGGTGGTGGTGGTGGTCAGTAGAGGACGGCATCGGGATCAAACAACGAAGGCGCTATAAGTAAGCGAGCCACGAGAGATGGGCCACCGGCCAGCAACGAACAGCCAGACAAAGACGAGGGAGCCGCGTGCCCAAGAAAACGCTTGGCGAGGGAGCCCGGGGAACGCGCTCTTCCTCTGCGCCTTCTTCATCTTATGTATCCTTCTTCGTCGAATCGTCAACTCGCATTATCGCGTCTGGCAAGGAGTGAGAAGCCCCGGGCGCGGGATTGACAGATGGCGAACCCCGCGCTGGTGGCTGGAGAACTCCAGCATGGGGCCGTTGGGATCGTGATGGATTCGCCGTAAACGCGTTCCAAAGCTCCCACCCGCGCAGATCTCGTCAATCAATCTGCGGAGGTTTTCCTTGGGATGATTTCGTGATTAAACATTGCATTGATTCCTGCCGGGCGGATGGCAGCTCCAACAGATGAGAAGGGCGCAAAAGGGAGCGAGATTTCCAGACAACTTAACATGGGGGGGTTTCCGCCGATGAGAAAATGGCCCCCGAACGGCGGCGCGGCGCCTCTCTTTCCTTTCTGCGGTGATCTGCTCGGCCTGGTCGAGGCTCACGGGCGCTCTTGCTCCCATCGAGGATTGCCACCATCGCGGCTGTTGACTCTTGCCGCCCGTGCCCGGTACGACTATTATGTCTGTTTGGTCACCGGAGGCGTATCATAGAACCTAGAGCGGTTGCTGGACCGGTAAAGTGCCTTGCCCCGTACCGTGTCTCCATACTGTCTCCATCTCCATGTTCACGACCCGCCCTCCTGCTTCTAGCGCGCACACCCGTCGCCGTCACCCCGTCCAAGCGCGACGCCACGGCTCCTCTCGCATACGAGCTCTGGGCCTCGTGTTTGCAATGAGCACGTATGTACGTATCCCGGGCCCCACTCGAACATAACCCTGCCTTATGATCGTGATGCGGGGCAGTAAAAGTATGTACTTTGTGCCAGCGGCGTCCCAGGCATCGCCGACCATTCAGCGGGCGAGCGGAGGCGCTCGCGGAGCGCGATCGAGACCGAGGACCGCCACGCTCGGATCCGTATCTGGCGGTTCCAGGCACTCTCCCGCATCCTTCGACACGTTCGTACCTCTTTGATCACCGACGCTCGTTCTGCCTCAGGGACACCGAAGTAGAACGACCGGAAGGTTCTGTCTTGCAGTTGCAGGTGGCGCGCGTACGTGGCCTAAGACATACCGCCATGGTCCTGACCTGCTCCACAATATGCCCCCCATTGATAGCATCGCGCTGCAGACCTACGTACCACGGCGCGCTCTACCTAACTTCGCTCTCTCCCACTCGCATGAGGAATAGGAACTCGACGGCGTTCATACATCTTGCCTCGATCTCCGTGCTTTTCCGACGAGGGCTCGCGCCGCTTTTTTTCGTCTTCGCTCCGTGCATTTTTATCCGTCTGCGTTCGTGTAGCGTACGGCCTTCGAGTGTACCGGGAACCCCACTTACTATATAACTTAACTACACGTGACCGTTCCTTCTCAGTCCCTGCCTGTCCCTGCACGCTCTTGGGTGTGATTTTCGTGATAACCGCTGTGCGATCGCTAGTTGCCGTGCTATAACCCCCCCGCTCACGGACAACCTCCGCGTCTTGATACAGACTTTTCTCCCATGCCTACGCGCCTACGCCACCAGGAAGGCGGCGGCTCCGAGTCCACGGATAGCGAACTGCTGCTGGAAGCCGCGCGGGTGCTGCTGGAGCACACCCGCCAGCAGCGCGCCGCCCCCGGACGTCCCGTCACGGACGACGAAGACCTCGAACTGAAAGCGGCGCAGCTGATGCTTCGCGCGCACGGGCAGCGCGCTCCGCAGCGGCCTTCCGCTATCGAGAGAAGTCCTCGCCCGTCGGCCGGCCCGAGCACCGCGCGACACCGCGACCGACGACGTCGACAGCCGCGGCCGTCGTCGAGCCCTGAAGAGGCATCGAACGACGTGATCGTCCTCTCGTCTGACGATGGCGAGCAAGAAGAGGATGAGCTCGAACACGACGAACACAGGCCACGGAACAAGAGGCGAGCGAGGGAGGGCGAACGCGTCGGTGCAGAGCCGGAGGATCGCAAGAGAATCAAGGCAGAGGTGAGATTTCTCGTTGCCCGCTTGACTTGCGCCCCGGCTTACGATCGTGCGCACAGCCGATTTCGTCAGACGGGCTCAGACTGCCGGGAGCGGGGAAGGACGGCGGTTCGCGATGCACGCAATGCGTGATGAGGAACGTGGCTTGCCTGAAGCAAAAGGGCTCCCATGCGCGCGCGTGCCAGTATTGCGCGCATATGAGGTTCAAGTGTTCGTTAGTATGAAACTCTTGACCTGGCAACACCCCGGCTACGTATATCGCTGCCTCGCTCAATGTCAGCCTCTCCGCCTTCCGGCGGTTTAACATCGGCTCAATACGTTGTCGGCAACTTGACAAGGGGAATCTCTCTCCTCTCGACCTCTCGCACGCAGAGCTCAAGCGCGCGCAATGCCGTATATCGCGTTCACCTCACCTCCTCCTCCGCGCTTTTTTTCCGACCAGGACCGCACCGTTTCTTCGCTCACCGTGTCTACCCCGCTCAGCACGCCCGTCGCCTTGGCCGCGTATCTCGTTCGTCTCTCCCCACCGCCAGCCTCGCCGTCTCGCGGCGGTTCAACGTCGGTTCAAGACATCGCCACGACCCCTTCCGCTCATACGCACGCACGGGAGATCAAAAGCGCGCGATTCAGTACACTATCTTCCCTCTCCCCTCGATTGACCCGCACTTTTCCCAACGAGCACCGCGCCGTTTATTCGCCCACCGGGTCTACCCTTGCGCCGCTCCTCCACTGTCGATTTTCCGCTGCGGGATACTTACCATGCGCACTCGCCGTTTCAATTCTTTTATACGCCCCTCCCAACGGATACCCACTCCGCTGCCGTTTTGTCGCTGGCGCGTATGAGCAAACACGGAGTGGGCTCCCGCCCCCCCATTCCGACACGATTTGGCGACGTCTCCCCGGGATCTCGCACGTCCAAGTGACCTGCGGTGTTCGACGGCTTTCACGCATGCGTTCTGGCATGCCGATCTTCATGCTGTTGTGCGACTGCGCGCCGTTCGTGCGAGTCGATGCAACTTCTACATTGTGTTGTCCGCGTTGCGATCTATGACCCACGCCAAGGTGAGCGGCCGGGGCACCCGGCGCTTTTCAATTTTTTTTTGTCCGCGTTGCGATCTATGACCCACGCCAAGGTGAGCGGCCGGGGCACCCGGCGCTTTTCAATTTTTTTTTTTCGGTAAGCCGGTAGTAGTACGACGTCCATTATGTCTGCCATTACATGGCGGTTTGCATAACATGCATAACATGAACAAACCCGACGCATGCCAGATGAGGAATGCGTACGCGTGACGTGAGTTTTTGCGCGCCACCGAGCGCAAGCCGCCTCCTTGGATGTCCTTTCGCCCGAGCCCTCGTCTATGCAAGTCACTCAGCGCGTCTTCTAAACGATGGCTTGAGCGGTGAGCGACACCCCATACCCACCGGTCCCGCTTCCATCGCGCTCATCACGTTTTGCCGACAGCCAATACAACGACCCGTTCGTGCGCCAGCGCCTCTCGCACCCGGCCAACTACCGCTCGCGCTCGGCCTTCAAGCTGCTCGAGCTCGACAGCTACAAGGGCTCCAGCTTCCTCACCAAACCGGACGTGCGCGCCGTCGTCGACCTCGGCGCCGCGCCCGGCGGCTGGTCCCAGGTCGTCGCGGGCAAGTTCGGCTACCTGCCCGACCCGAAGAGCGCGCGGCCGCCACCCAAACCGTCCCTCCTCGACTCCCGCTTGGACAACACCTCCAGAGGGGGTGTTGTGGATCAGTCCGCGGCCGCGGAGGATACGGGGGGTGGCGGGGACACGTGGAGCGAGGGGGCGCAGGACCCGGCGAGGGTGTACGACAGGACGATCGTCGCGCTCGACTTGCTGCCCGTCGCGCCCATCCCCGGCGTGCGCACGCTCCGGATGGACTTTCTCTCCCCGGAGGCGGAGGGCGCGATCAAGGCGCTTCTGTCGGACGCGCGGAACCCGGACGGACGCGCGGACGTCGTGCTGTCCGACATGGCCGCGAACGCGACGGGCAACCGCGCCCGGGACGTCGAGGCCAGCCTGCAGATATGCGAAGCCGCGCTCGAGTTTTGTAGGCGGAACCTGAGGACGGCGGAGAGCGTCGGGAGGAACGCGGGCGGCGTGCTGGTGTGAGTACCCCCCCCCCCCCCTTACG